TTTGCATGGTCTCGTTGGTATTTTTGGTCGACAATCTAATAGTTGAGCATTGCGCAACGCTAACGGAGTTGTTCGCTATAGAAAAGTGTACAGCAATGATCTTCACTGATTCTCGAACAAGCTATACATGGCATGACTACACAAAATACCCATCCAGCCTGTTTGTCGTCCGTGTATATAGAGCTTTTAATATGCGTGCGATCTACAAAATACTTTCCCGATTGAAAAGGAAGGCAAATTCACTCGTCGAGGAACAAGCCAGAGAAGTTTAAATCAACTGACTATGCAGCTAACCATGCGAGACCGAGGTTCAGTTCTGGCCCTAACTAAGTACATGGAATTATCCATGACGAGGAGCATTGATACATAATTCACAACCCGTCAAGGAGCAAACCAAAGACGTTTAATCTACTGACTATACAGCTAACCATGCCAGACCAAAGTTCAGTTCTGGCCCAATTTGAGAATATAAAAGTCTCCATGACAGGGAGCATTGATACAGACACATACAGCTTTGGTCTAATGTTTGAGTGGATAGGCCACGTACAAGCAATGATAGATCGCACGAGTACTGACTAAAAGTGTCCTATTGACGCATGCTCTTCTTTGCGGACAACCTGGGAAAGTCGGCGAGATATCTCGAACCGCATTTGCTGACTATTTGCGTGGTCTCTTGATGTTTTGGGTAGACCATTTATTATGCGAGTACACCACTGTGTATTGTTCGCTATAGGAAAACGTATAGCAATGATCCTTACTGATATTAATAATAATACACCACTCGACAAGACTGTTTCATCACGGTAGCTGCAAAACCATATAGAACGAGAATGATTCATGATTTGAATTACATACATTGCTAAGTTATCACATAAATACTCTGTCGATATGTACTGATATATCACATTTCAAATATGACGTGTAATTTGGTGTTTGCTACTGATTTATTTTCAGTTCAATGTCATCGGATTGTGGGAAGGATTGCAAATTTAAGAAGAGATATATAGAGACGGCGAAGACTGATGAGCAGTTCATCTGTAGGGATTTTCTGTTCTGTTCAATGTCATCGGATTGTGCGAAGGATTGTAAATTTAATAGGTAATATATAGATAGACGGCGAAGCTTTACGAGCAGTTCAACTAAAGACAAACATTTGAATGCAGTTTTCCATTTGAAACGTTTCAGTGAAGAAAGCTCGGAGGTTGTTCTATCACAGTCGCGTATTGCTATTTTTTTAAAGCTTGCTCCAACACTAGTGTGTATAAATTGTAGGTACATTCAATGATCGATACCGGAACTATTTTCTTTAAAGGTGCTGTTTTTCGACCGGCAGGGCCGTAAGTGAATTTTTCTCTCGAATGGTCGGATAGCTACAAGCAATTGCTTTAAAATTCAATTAAGAAACCGAGGTGTACATTTTGCTATATGAACAGAAGTCATTCACGGTTGTATATCAGGATTATTTGCACGACAGGGTTGCCTTTTTAACAAAAGTACGGGGTAGTAGGTTCGGGGTTTGTGCTGGATAGCTCAATTGATCAAACAGAATATCGATCCACAACTCTTAGGTGCTATATATCGAACTTGACACGTTTAGAGATTGGTTATACCGACATCAGCTAGCGTTTGTGATCACAAACACCGCGCAAGGCAACAATTGATGCATTTTTTTCTGCGACCATTTCATAGAATAAAAGAACGTTGACGGAGTTTATATTACGCGCGATACTTGAGGTTGTAGGAAATGAATACTCTGAGCAATTGAGCGAGAGGTCGCCGCGGGTAAAGTGCTTTTGAACCCAGTTCGCCAAAAAATGTGATACATCTCCTGATGATTTACGCATAGGTAAGTGTCATGCCTTAAAGAATTTATAGAGCATGCCTTAAAGAATTTATAGAGCATGATAGATGACTACAAAGTTTCACATGTGTCACATGTGATGTGCACCTTCACTACAAACAATTATGTGAGCAGTCGGTCTCATAAGTATTAGCACGCAATATAGCTTATGATATGTTTTGTTTCTCATCGAAGCTGTAGTGCGGCTCACGGCTGACATTCACGTTCTGTGGTAGACAGAGTATTAGTAGAATATATCTCGGGTGCATCAATTTTAGAACGCTTAGGTATACTTACGATGGCACGCCCGTTCAGTCTTCCAATACGTTTCACTGAAAACGTTAACGGTTAGTCCCATAACAGACAGTTTTGGATGACAAGAGAACAAATAAAATCTGCACGACAATTGATCACCACTCGTAAGTGACATCATCGATGATCACTAAAACTGTATATATTCAAAACATTACTGTTTGGCATCTGTCGCATACTGGCATGCTGAATATCATTCTCCAGTATATACGATACCACGCCTCGATACGCTGCCTGCCGAGATTGTTATGGTAAAAAAACTTCTATACCAAAATACTACTCTGGATGTAATTCTTCCGTGCCCGTCTGCATTTTGAGTATCGTACAGTATATCTCTTGGCGGTTACTGTCGTATATGTAAGCACATACTACAATTCTGTGAAACAATCATGATCGTAATCATATACACCGACCAATAGGAATTCAGATGCGGCAAAACGTCTTTTGCACAATGACGAGTCTATATTTTCACACACGACTTGTCAGGCAACGAATCGCTTGTTTATCTACGAGTTGTGTCCGACTTCTGTCACAACCACATAACTACCTGTAGAGGTTTGCTATAAGATACTTTTCTCTTTTATATTAGCTAACGTTGAAGGTAAGAGATTACGTAGCGACTCTTTTTCAGCTTCCACCGTGTCAATTTGCGCTAGACTATGAATTTAATCCTATAAGTGGAGTAATTATAATGGCCACAATCTCTTGGGTTCAATTGTCTCATTGTCATATCAATCCACGTGTCTGTCCTTGGAGTTGATATGCCCCTGTCTGTACACACACGAATTTTGTGAGCACTTGTTGCCCTATCCGTGGACTCTAAAAAAGATATGCAAAAATCATGTCCCGATTGAATGCATGTGATATCGTTTATTAATTTTATGTATCTATTGATCACAAATATATTTCTTATGAACTCTTAATTTGAAACTTTGGCTACTGGTCAGACATTCCTGCTCGTAAATGATAGAAGAAGCCACAAGACAGGGTACAAACTGTGTAAGCACAGGTTGGATGGTTGTAAACGTTATCAGCGCGATCGAAAATAGACGTTTCAGAATGTGTACGTACGAAAAAGAATCATCGTGGCAGCTCAGGTCCAGTTAGCATAAACATATAGATAGGCACTGTCAATAAAAAAATACTATCGTTGATACAAATGATTAAATGACGATCGGCCCGTATCGGATATACCTGTCGCGTATCTTCCTCATACCATATTTTAGAAACCATTTCGCTTGCAACAATTATTATGACAGGAAATATGAGGCAAAATTCCACAAACCAAGAAGAAGTGCGAATATTCATAATCAGGGTACACAATTGCTCCATGATATATAATACTACTTTCCATGCCTGTCTGTGCATTCAAAGTATATCCGTGTACTTTTGGTAAACGCAACCAAATAGAAATACATACCTACATAAGGCTCTATATACTTGCATATCTGTCATACTTTAGATAGATACATAATATACATAATCGAGACAATAGACAATTTCACAAGCACAAAGAGAGACATGAGTGATATATTAACTTTAAAAACTAGGAACTCTTCAAGTGATTCTAAAATAAGTTAGCAATATGCCAATGCATGTCCGCTATACTGACCAAATGGAATCCTAAGTGTCACGATTATGAGACAGGTCATTGGAATGTATATGGGCACCTATGATGATGCAAATACCATGTAAATGCACATGACACTAATAACTAATGCTGGTGTAACTATCCTCTGTCGGATGTATGCATGTATAATTAAGCAAAAGTAATTGATTTTAAAAACAAATATCTTGAACATTACTATAGTAGTGACTACACATACACACACACACACACACATANA